TCTGAGAGTAAATAACAACTAATAAACAAATCATGTCTCTAAGACTAAAATATCAATCAGTACACATCTCACATCCAATGCATTTAGTGTAAAGACGTCATTAACAGTCAGAGAAAACAGACCTTGTGCAATGCCAAAATATAGGTATCGACAGATTGTGGTAGCGTTAAAAGTGTATAACAATAATATTTAGTATGGTTTTAATTTACTGATAAAAAAATCAATATTCGTACCAATAAAAACAATATTCAAAGATCTTACCGTGTTGAATTGGTAACCTTTTAGAATAAGTTTATTTAAAGGATTGGTAAGTTTTCACGGATCGTATCTAAATTTCCGGGCTCGGTAATTAACATCACCGTGAAGTTTAGGATGTGCTATTCCGTTTATTACCCCACTACCAATAGGAAGTTTTAAACACACAGTTTATAAAACTTAACGGGAGTAGGAAAACTTATTGAGATTTATATTAACAAGCTTACACATCGACCAAGCGCGCCAATATTAATTCGGTATCTATCTTATATTTGATTTTCTCCAGCTTTTACTATTTTGATCAATTTACCGTTACCATATCAATTATCATGCATTCGAAACACCCAAATTTAAGGTTGCGGAGAGTTACATTGCTTTCATTTCTCCTGGTATCTTAACTGTACCGATATAATAAATCAAATTTTCAATTTCAAAAGATAATCTTTGGTCGCCGGGCTCAATCCTAATGTTATCGTTGGGCTCAATGCTCCACATTATGGGCTCCAGTTTCCATGGGCAATGTTTTAGGGCTCTCCGCTCAACTGATATGACACCGGCTCCACAAATATGACTCAAGGCTCCAATTATAGGCTCCTAGCTCCGTCGGTTGGATCCGGGCTCAAGATAAAATGGCTCCGGGCTCCTACACAACTTTGGATCCCGTGTTATTACCCCATAAGCTGATTGATTCTGGTATCATCTTGTTCTAATTTGACTGTCTTCACTAAAGACTTTTATTACAAGTAGTTGAGAGTCCTGATAGTCTTTATCTTTTCCCCATGTAAGAATGAAATGGTAAATAGTTTCATCTAATTTGCGACAAAGTTTGTAATAGATCTAACAGTTTTCTTGGAGACTTATGTTTTTAGAGCTTGCAAAATGCAATTACAGTCATGATTTTGCGACTACTAGTAACTGGACTCCATTTGACATATTTCTTGGCGTTATATACTAAGAGATGTAGTAAGTTGTTTTGCATGCACACGTATAAAAATTGCGGTTTTTATCCAACGCAATCATAGGTTTGAACGTTGTTTTCAATTTAAACTTGTTCATATTTTAGTTCGATATATTTCTATAGAAGATGAGTAAGTGTTAACATTCTCAAATACTCGATAAACTTTATTTAGGGCCCTGTCGAATGATGGACGCCCTATAGTGATCAGTCTGTCCGTTTGTCTGTCCGTCCGTCTATCCGTCTGTCCGTCTGTCCGTAACAAATTGTGTCCGCTCTATATCTAGAGAATCGTTATGATTTCAAAGTTTATACTTGACATGTATATCAACCAACACCAGAGGGTGTGTCATAATGTATGTACAACTTCCTAGGTCAGAGGTCAATGTCAAAAACTTTGGTTTTAGTTGACAACCCCATGTCCTATGGTAAAGATCGTGTCCGCTCTATATCTTGAGAACCGTTATGATTTCAAAGTTTATACTTGACATGTATATTAACCAACACCAGAGGGTGTGTCATAATGTATGTACAACTTCCTAGGTCAAAGGTCAAGGTCAAAAACTTTGGTTTCAGTTGACAACCCCATGTCCAATGATAAAGATACAATTTTTTTACCACACATTATTCACAGCGGGGCCCACAGAGATGGCTCCCATCTCAATGATATCTAGTTAATTTAAATGTAAGTTGACCAAACTAGCACTTTTAGTAAAATAATTTCTTAGAATTGTCACAGACAAAAAATCATGACGGGATTTTTTTTTCTCGTAATGTCCTAGCACAGAAGTGGAATACGTTTCTATAGGGAAAAATTCATAGGAGTCACATCTGGAAAAGTATTCTTATACAGTATAGCCAATATCAGGGCGGATTTGAAAGGGGGCGTTATTCCAGAAAGCCTAATAGATACTGCCGAGCGGTGGGAGGTGAAAATTTATTTGGGCGATTTTATGCTAAAAAAATCATATAAATCGTGAGAAACATGAGATTTACTTGGAAAAACTCGGAAGATCAAAAGGGGGTGTACGCCCTCTAATCCTTATCCTGGATCCACCACCAAAGACATTATGTCCCAGGTCATATATATGTGCACCCAGAGACATAAAAAATATATACATGTATATACATCCTGGTGCCATTGCCGCTCTTGGGTCATCGACTGATGACATGGATCCCCTCTCTTTCTTTCGTTTTATTGAGTTTTAAATTTTTCAATAGGCGGATCCAGGGGGGGGGGGGGGCCTTGGGGGGCCCGGGCCCCCCTTTTGTTGGAAAAATTTGGTTGATTAGATAGGAAATCACTAAAGCATGACTGGATTGTCAGTTCATTATTTTACCCTCGCAAGTGTCCCAAGTATGCATAGAATTGGATTAAACCTGGTCGTATTCTTGTCTAGAGGGAAAACGATAGTATTTGCCTTATGCCAGTACTTCCCTACCGATACTGGTCTAGACCAGTTAACATCAGAATACTGAGAAATTTCGTGTATGTATATCGTTATAGGTGGCACGGTAGTATTTCCTGGCCCATAAGGTAAGGGATAATGATAGTCTTTTTAGAATTTTCACCACTTTCTAACACTGCTAAAAAATCTACATTCACAGTTAACTGAAGTACTTTCATTTTACTATTCAGAAATGAATTTGAATAGGTATCATGACCGTTTACTTTTTTTGCTATCTTTAAGAACCTAAGGCCACTAGTGCCTTTAGGTCTTTTATCGTGCAGTGAATACAAAATTTAAAAAAATCTCAAAAATTCATTTTCATCTGTATGTAAAATTATTTCATATTTTTCTACACCTGATTCATCCCTCAGTTTGGGAAAGTATGTTCAGTTGATACTGTATTTTTGGTCCAATCATAATGTTCAGATACATTGACTTAAGTAGGGTACACAAAAGAGCAACCTAAATTCTGGAATGCAAATACTACCGTGCTACCTATAAACATAACAAACCATAAACACTATATTATAACCTACTTTAACAGGGGCGGATCCAGCCATTTATAAAAGGGGTGGGGGGGGGGGGGTCCTATCCCAGGATAAAAGGGGGGTGGGCTGATTTCCAACTATATGTCCCAATTCAAATGCATGATAGTCGTAATGGGGGTACCCTAATGACAATTAACAGTAAAAATTCTTGCCAAATGACATTAACGGTAATTTTTGGTGCATGACGATAAAATGTACACTTTATTTTAGACGATAAAAAAATCGACTGATTTTGACGAATCACGTTAAATTTTTCCAAAAATAACGGTAACAATAATTATTTGAGACCTCTGACAAATCACGATAAGGATATTTTGACGAATCACGGTAAATTTTTAACCAATTTGAAGCTAACGGTAGCCTAAAATGACCATTTGATGCCTGACAATAAAGGGCATTACTACCCTCATGCATTGATTGTCAAAAAAAAGGGGGGGTTTCCAGCCCCTGGAACCCCCCCCCCCCATCTTGATCCGCCACTGTTTAACACACTATTTTCTATTAGTTAGATAACTTTACAAAAGTTTAAGAGATAAGGTGGAGACACAATAGGATTTTAGTTTTAGCAGAAGGATGTCATGGGGTAGGCAATCAAAATCCTTAGACAACTGATTCCATTAATATTGCTAACTCTTAGAAATTAAAATGATGGAAACGATTAATAAACTTTAATATTCATTGATAAAATGTCCAGCTTGCGTTTTGATTCATAAACAAATAGTTATATTTCTTCTTGATTAATTTAAAGCTTACTTTAACATTGTATAGGCACCTCACTGCCTGTTTAAACTGTTCTTTAGCTCACCTGGCCCGAAGGGCCAAGTGAGCTTTTTTCATCACTTGGCGTCCGTCTTCGTCATCATTGTCGTTAACTTTTTACATTTTGAACTTCTTCTAAAGAACCACTGAATGGAATAAAACCAAACATGGCATGAATGTTCCTTATGAGGTGCTGACCAAGTGTTGTTACTTTGTAGCTGATCCATCATCCAAGATGGCGGCCAGCAGGGGACTTCATTTAACAAAGGACCCTATGGACAATACATACAAATGTCTTCTTTTCGAAAACCACTGAATAGAATGAAACCAAACATGGCATGAATGTTCCTTGTGAGGTGCTGACCAGTGTTGTTACTTTGAAGCTGATCCATCATCCAAGATGGCCGCCAGCGGGGGACTTTGTTTAACATAAAACCCTATGGACAATATATACAAATGTCTTCTTTTAGAGATCCACTGAATGGAATGAAACCAAGCATGGCATGAATGTTCCTAATAAGGTGCTGATGAAGACCTCAATTCATGTATCTTTAAAGATTGAGATCTACTGTAAACTGCAAAAATATCAAGAAAAGAAGATCTACACATAAGTGAACATGAGGAATATTGTCAATTGACATCTTGATGGTTATTGTCCTCATAAAGTCATTTTCTACAATTTCAATTTATTTATTTTTAATTTCTGTAAACTGTACAAAAGTCTTCTGCTTTTGATTACGGTAAATTACGGGGCCAATATTAAACCAAATGTGGCCTCAATCATTATTAGGGTATCTGTTATGATTTTAATATATTTTTACATGATTTCCAAAACCAAAGTAGAATCAGGTGAGTGACACAGGCTCTTGAGAGCCTCTAGTTTAACTATTTGTGTTGTTTTCAGTAATTGCATTGCCTCATTCATGCTCACTCATCATCTCCTTTAATTCATATTAATGATCATTCATGTTATTAAAACTATAAATCAATGAATTGACAGTTGTATTTTATTATTATGATTATTTCAGTGTAAAGATGGCTCAGGCAAATACAAGACTACTTAAACTATGGCCACATAATTCATTATGCCATTGTTATCAACAAAGCTCCTGGCCAGCTCTATTATCATATCACAGAAATTCTCACAGACACCTTAGTTCAGTCTCGAACAAACCAATTCAACTTTACAGCCAGAAATCTTACCCAAGTATTAGTGTGTTTCCTAAACAGTTTTACAGTGGATTAAATTTGTCTACACGAGCAGATCTACTAGAAGCTAAGAGAGTAATAATTAAATTAGGCAGTGCTGTGATCACTAGAGAAGATGAATGTGGACTGTCTTTGGGACGCTTGGCCTGCATAATAGAACAGGTATTGTAGAAAGTGTTTGATGTTATCTTGAAATTTAAAAAAAACAAAACACTTATATTATATGTAAATGGCTCTGTAGATTTATGTGTTTTTATAGCCAAGTTTTTTGGGTTTTTTTATCTTTGGAAAAAAGAAAAGATTGGCTATAGCATAGATTAAGGAAGATGTTATCAAGATAACCATAAAAACAAAAGTGACCAAAATGTTTATCACCAATCTCTTAAAAAAAATAAAATATAATGAAAGGTTGATGCATTATAGTAATGGCCTAACCTAACACTATATTATTGTTCCAATTGAATATATTACTAAATATTGAAAAATGACTTTAATTTTGCTATGTAAAATCAATTTCATACATGTATTTTATAATAGGGGACGACCATTTGATATTCTGGTGGGGGCCAGGAGGATTTGTTTTGGATCGGTTATTTATTTTTGTGAACTAGAAGAAGAGATTATCTATTTTCTGCACTGTTGAAGCATGATTTTTCATTTTCATTAAAACAAGGGACTGATTATTTATTTTCACAATTATATTTATAACATTTGAAAACACAATTTTTAATTTTTTTTTTATTCCTAAATAGATAATAAGTGTATAGTCAAATCAGTATGTACCATTTAATCAGAATTAATCATCATCCTGTGGAAGTGAATCTTCTGAATTCCAAACTGCATATATTGCATATGTACAAGGTATTAAAGTGGGGCTGTAACTAAGCCTCTTTTAAAAGTAATGTCAAACATATTTGGCGAAGGTTTTGGGGGCCGCTGAAGGCCACAAGAAGACAATATGTTGGTCTCAAAGCAAAATATATAGATTCAGTGTAAGACTTTTAGTTTTTAGGGACAACATCAAAAGACCAATATGTAGGATAAAGCAACAAGTGTAATTCAGTGTAATTCAGAAACTTAAGTATGTGGCTGCTTTTTTTTTAGTTTTTTTAGTGTTTTGGCTTGCAGAAAATCTTTTTTATATACCTGTCAATTATGTTTTTTTGTTCTCAAATAAGGTTAAGAGGGGCTGATTATCATTGATATAACTATGTCAAGCAAGTTTTTATAACACATTTCAATTACAACTTGATGTAGTTCCTAACTGAGATACAATTTGAAATTCATGTAGTTTGTAAAATTAGACAAAAAGTCCTTAAATAAAATTTAAACTCAAGTTTAAAAAAATTACTAAATTTCAAATGGAATGCAACACTAAGAAAATAAAGAAGGGCAATCAATGAACAAAAGACAAACCCTGGAACAGATAAAACACAAAACGACAAACATTATAGACAAATAACACTGAAAACAAAATTAAATGAGAAAAATGGAATATGAAATACAGGGGCTGTATGTCAGAGGGTGAACAGCCCTCTTATGAAAGTGAGGTAAATGTTCCTGAGTTGATATACCTCTAGTTAAATGTAACCCATTTTCAGACATTTCAAGTACATTAATATTTATACATTGCGTTATAAAAGATTTGGAAAGTTTTTCCCGAAAAAAAATATGAAAAAAGATGAATTTTGTAGGAATCTGGTGCCATTTCATACTTTAGAATAGCATTTATAAAATGGCTTTAAAGACCTGCCCAGTTATTTATTTTCAATACATTGTAGGTCAGGTTATTTATTTTCAAACTACCACAGAACAAACCATTCATTTTTGTTATTATCAAGGCTGAGTTATTTATTTTCAAAATCCTCCTGGCCCCCCTGGCTTAGCTGTACATACCCTCAAAGAAAATTAGTGTAGTGCCAATTTTTACATTTTTCCAAGGGATGGAATTACATATTATTAGTCCCTAAAGTTTTCCACTGAACATATATTCACAGTTTCTGCATAAGCAACCACAACCCTGTAATCTTTTATAGTGACAATTTTATTCAGTAAATGCCTCATTTTGTACCATGAGACTGATGTGAAGGTATAAACCTGCAGTGAAAACTTTGATATGTTTTTGTGTAAAGGTTGCTGAGTTACAGAATCAAGGGAAGGAGATGATGATGGTAACAAGTGGTGCTATAGCTTTTGGTAAACAGAAACTACAACAGGAAATCATCATGTCCATGAGCATGAGACAGACTCTCACATCAGCTGACAAAAATAAGGTGAGCATGAGACAAAACTCGCATCAGCAGACAAAAATAAAGTGAAAATGAGACAAATCTCGCATCAGCAGACAAAAATAAGGTGAGCATGAGACAACTCTCACATCAGCAGACAAAAACAAGGTGAGCATGAGCCAGACTCACATCAGCGGACAAGATTAAGGTAAGCATGAGAGACACTCACATCAGCAGACAAAATTAAGGTGAGCATTAGACAGACACTTGCACCATCTGACAAAAATAAGGTGAGCGTGACAGACACTCACATCAGCTGAAAAAAATGAGGATAGCATGAGACAGACGCTCACATCAGCAAAAAAAAATAAGGTAAGCATGAGACAACTCTCACATCAGCTGACAAAAACAAGGTGAGCATGAGCCAGACTCTCACATCAGCAGACAAAAATAAGGTAAGCATGAGACAGACACCCACATCAGCAGAAAAAATAAGGTGAGCATGAGACAAGGCACGCATCAACTGACAAAAATAAGGATAGCATGAGACAAACAATCACATCAGCAAACAAAAATAAGGTGAGCATGAGACAACTCGCACATTAGCTGACAAAAATAAGGTGAGCATGAGACAGACGCTTACATCTGCTGACAAAATAAGGATAGCATGAGACAGACTCTCACATCAGCAAACAAAAATAAGGTGAGCATGAGACAACTCTCACATCAGCTGACAAAAAAAAGGTGAGTATGAGCCAGGCACTCACATCTCTGAACAAAATAAGGATAGCATGAGATAAATCTCATAGACAAAACAGTGGAATATGACATAGCATCTAACATCAGCAAATTAAAATTAGGTGAGCACGAAAAAGACTCACAGCAGCAAACAATGAGACAGACTCACATCAGCTGACAAAAAACAGGTGAGCTTGTAACAGACAAGAACAGTTGAGCGTAGGACAGATATTCACATCAGCAGAAAAAAAGGTGAGCTTATAACTGAGAGAAACTGTTGAGTATGAGACAGACTCGCACATCCAGCTAAGCTGCTGACAAAAGTAAGGTGAACTTGTAAGTTGTAACATGCAAAATCAGTTGAGCATAAGACAGACTCTCACATCAACAAACAAAAAAAGGTGACAAAAATAGTTGAGCATGAGGCAAACTTTATGGTATGGGTTTTTCTCATTGTTGAAGGCTGTACAGTTGCTTATAATTGCTTACATCCACTTTATTTGAACTTGGTTGATAGTTGTCTCATTGGCAATCGTACCTCATCTCCTTATTTTTATGTTTAACTTGAAGTAAGGATTCGAAAGGAAATGAATAAAAACAACTCATGTGACACAATTATAATTTAAAGTAAGCATATGAGACACCCTTCAAGACAAAATTAATGTAACACAAATATTATTCAAAGTAAAAGTTAGATATACATGTCAACTGACAGTAACTAATGTGACCGTTTGAAAAAAAAACATCAGTAATAGACATACACTCAAATCAACAGACAAAAAACGCTATACAATTAGGAGACTGTGAACAAATTTTCCTGTATGAGGCATGTTTCAGTTTTGCTCCTAAAGCTTCTAAATAGAGTTATAGGATTTGTTGTTTATTTTTCTTAATAGCATGATTTATCATTATTCCTATAAAGCTATATAGATTTAGTGATATGATGATCCTTATTGTAGCCATGTTTATTTACCTCAGGATGTGTTGCAGGGGACATAGAAATACCCTCAGAAAAAATTATATACAGCAACAAACAACAACCACTGAATTATAGGCTCCTGACTTGGGATAGGCACAAACAGAATGTGGCAGGGTTAAACATGTCTGAAGGCGGCAAACCTCCCCTAACCTGGGACAGTGGTGTAACAGTACAGCATAAGAACAAACTATAAAAATCAGTTGAAAAGGCCTTAAATCATCAGATCGATACAAAGCAGAAAAACAACTAACAAAAGCACAAACCGGTCATGGCAGGGAATTTGTACATCCTCACAATAAAAAAGACACTAGGTACAGATCTGAGAGTACTTGCAGATACTGATAGCTATTTCAAAGCCAATAACAACTAAAAAAAAAATCATGTATCTAAGACTTAAATATCAAAATATCTATTTTTATTTTGTTTTTGTAGCATGGTTTATTTATTGCCCCAAGAGCTTGTGCAGCAGTTGGACAGAGTGGTTTAATGTCTCTATATGAAGCCATGTTTATGCAGTATGGAGTCAAGGCTGCACAGGTAATTTTAAATAGGAAATTCAAGTGAATGGAGGAAGATAAGGGTGAATGAAGCAGCAACCTGTCAATACAAAAATGTCAATAGACATCTAGGTCAGTATAGGGTCTTCAACAATAGGCAAGTGCATACATTATGTCAAGCTCTAAATTGTCTATAAGAGTTTTAAGATGTGAATGAATTTAGCAGAGACTCATCTACCTTCAACACCTATTTCCCTATAAAAGACAAAACACATTAAGAAATAAGTTAAGAAAAATGTTGACAAAGCTCATAACTTTGAAAAGGCACATAAACATTTAGTGGGGTAAACTATGAATTTAGTTTTGGTGAAAGGCCAATTTTTTGTGGGAACTCTTTTCATATCCCCTTTGTATACAGAAAATGGTGAAAATCGCAATATCAAAATTAAAGAAAAACACTATTTTGATGCTCTCTTGTATATACATTAAGAACAGAACCTGCCACTCCAAATCAAAATCCACCCTTGTTTCGTGCAAGGCAAATTGTATTGAAATTTCTAAATGAACGTAAGGAAACGTTAAAGATATTAAAAGTTTTCAAATGCATTCTAACTCATTGTCGTTTCTATTTCTCAGTTATTGTCCTTGTCTGCTTTATTATTTTTAAACAGTATATACATCCTTAATTACTAATAGGTGATTTAGAATCTAAAAGAAGGCAACATTCTGATGCTGTGAAATCTCTATTAATTCTTGTGTTATGAATTTAAGTACCTCTTGTATTGCTTTTCTTCATCAAAATGTCACATTAAGACATTCAACAAGGAATACCAATAACTATATTTTTTTAATATTCTGAAGGTGCTAATTACAAAGCCAGACATTGATGACCCTGAAAGCTGTAAAAATCTGTGTGGAACATTGAATGAGTTGTGTCGACTAAAAATCATACCTATTCTAAACACAAATGACGCTGTGGCACCGCCACCAGCCCCTGATAAGGATCTTAAAGGGGTGAGTAACCAGTTATTGTTTCTGAGGCTGTTGCCCGGGATATATAATCAGTATTCTTTAACTCAGTATTAATTGTTAATTTGTTCTCTTCCTGAAAAGGAATGAAATAATTGAAGCTGGACTTAAAGTTAGGAATTATAAATCAATCAGTCATATTTGAAATTTAAATAATGTGGACTGGACTGGTTTTAAATGAATTGAAATCATTTTATACAAAACTTTTCAGTTAATTTCTGTCATTTAAATAAGATTTTACAGATGTATGTCTTACATCAACTTTAATGGGAGATAACTCTATGTTTTCTTTTTATTCACACTCCTGAAATTAGATATTGTTGACAGTTAAACTTCTGAAATTAAAAATTGTTGTATGTCATTTAAAGTTAAAGATGTGTAAGGAATTTGGATAAATGCTTTCAGCATAATGAACTGCAAATACATATTCAAGATATGCAAGACCAATTTTATTTCTTCGTATCTTAAAGGGCAATAATTGTTTTAAATAAATTTTAAATAGTTGAAAGAAGAGTATGCTTTGTTACTGAGAAAATTTGAATTGTGCAGTGGAATAAATTTCATATAAAGTTCGACGGTTTGGGATTTGGAGTTCGACAACAATGTTATACCAATAGCATCATTATATCCATAACATATAACTAACTCGAATGTTTGCTAATAACTACGTTTTAATCGAATATTTACAATATTTACAATCATTTCGTATTACAATTTCACAACATTGTTTTTGAACTGCAACATTAGACATAAAATTTCACACTAATTTAACCTGATTCCCAGAGATTATCAAACAAAGTAATTAAATCACCACAGCTGCATTGCTGACCACTTTTATTTGAACTCTAAATGACTAGACTGACCCACTAAAGGTGTCATAAAATTTAGGAATCCTGTTAAGATTAATGATTAACTTTCTACACTGTAAGAAACTTTTTGGAAAATACTATTATCTTTAACTAAATTTAGCAGACGAAAATGTAACTTTATTTCAACATAATGTATTGAAAATTAACGATTAAAATAAACTTGCAAAAATATAAGTGCAATTAATAAAAACGATGTCTACTCTATTCAAAAATTATAACTAAAATACAATCATACTAAAAAACTAAAACTATTGTCTTTAATCCATGCTTAATTGGGTATGAGCAGAATCCAGTATAGTATAAAAAGGGATATCTAACCGTATGCATGTTTCCAATAAATATGATTTTGTCAAACTATTTTGTTTTAGATGTTATATTAATTGTTCATTTGTTGGTCAATACATAATGAGCAAAGGGATGAATATCTCCTATTGGGATAATTTCCTCATTGCATTAAATCTGATACATGAAAAAAATCAACATAGTTCTGTTGCTAGTGTTGAATAGTATATATAAGAATACAGATGGATGCATAAAAATGTCAAGTAGGCACAATGGCTTTGTTAGTTCAAGGATACAGGGATCAAGTTTGCCTATAAAACATCAAATAATGTCTGAAATAAGGGTATAGTTAAAGACTTTCTGGTAATGGATATTATATAAATCAAGCAAATTGTTCAATGCAACTGCAATCCTAGCATTAACAAACAACAATTGAAATGGTATTTATTCATTGCTGCAGGTGATTAGTCTGAAAGATAATGACAGTTTGTCTGCTAGACTAGCCAGAGAAGTCCGAGCTGATCTAATGGTCCTGATGACTGATGTCAATGGTATATACACTGGACCACCAGGACAGATTGGTTCCAGACTGCTCCACACCTATAGCCCAGATGATAGGACTAAAGTTACATTTGGTTTAAAATCCAGAGTAGGACTTGGTGGAATGGAGTCTAAGGTTAGTATATAACTTGAGACTTGAGACTGTTCTAATTTCACGAAATCTCTCAATCATAGGGTATATAAAAATTCTAGTCCTGCTTTTGAATATACATGAATTCATACTTGCCAACCTCTGACTATGAAAAATCATGTCAAGACATGACATGACATGTCAAAAAACATGTGAAAACGAGTGATATAGATGCAGACTTTTTAATATGAACATTATACAAATTTGTTTATAAAAAAAAAACAATTTTCTACTGTAAACTTTTATGGCATTCAACAGTGGCCTGTTTTTGCTACTTTCAAAACAACACTACTAGGCAAATATTCAAAATAACTGCCAGTTTGGTTACATTTACATGATAACAAGGCACACAATATATCATTGAGTTCTGATCTGAATTCAGTGTAAATTTCTTTATAATTGAAAATGCTCTCTCACAGTCAGAACTGTTATTTGGCAAAACTAAAATAGCTTTAACGCTTAAATAGCAAGCTTTGTAAGAATGTCATAACGTTTTTTTGCCATTAAAAATGTCATCTATGTCTGCCATTGCTCCCCACAAATTATATATGTTGCTATTGTCTGGTCAAAACTGGGTAGCTCATCAGAAAACAGCTGGTACTCTGATAACTGATCCAACAGTTCTGTGATGTTTCCATCCCCTTTGGCCTGTGGAAATCTGTTGGCTAGATTTGAAACTGAAAAAGAAAAATATTTTATAATTTGAATACCATTGAATGCTTTATCAAATAGTTACATCCTCTCACACATGTTGTTATGATTGCAAATAATTGATAATATGTGCAGATGATCCAATATAAATATGAGAGTAACATAGGGTACACAATGCATTGTTCGGCCCTTGATCACTTTCTTTTGATTCATTTTAACACAGACTCCCAACTTTTTTGGTACGTACACACGTATTGTTTTCGCTTAGCACTCGGCTCTTTAGACGACAGTACAGGTTCAGAAAGTGACCTCTTTCTGCTGGACATTACCCCAAAGTGAATTTGAGAGAAAGAAGTAACAAAATCTTAAAACCTACTTACAAACTTACCTGAAATGAAGGGCTTTTGTTGTTCGTCCATATCGTAAATAAACAATGGCGACTCAACAATTACTTCGAAATTCTCGGTATTTATCGTTTATTAATGAAAACACCCGTGAATCGCAATCTCACTAATGGCCAAAAAATCAAAACAATGAAAAAGCGTGTAATGGCGTGTAAAGTGGCGAAAAGCGTGTACACACCATGTGACAAAATCCTCGCATGTAAACCATTGAAAAAGCATGTATTACGCGCGAATATCATGTGAGTTGGCAACTTTGCATGAATTATCTCCCATTAGTAAGATCCCTGGCAAATATATTGTAAAGTCTAATAAGGCAATACTGACATTTAAATTTCACTGTAAAACGGATGCTTTAAGAATTTGTGAAAGAAGACAGTTTTGTGTATTTAAGTCAGTTATACAATAAGAAACTAAGTAATGTAAATAAATAAATGTTTGAGAGAAAACTTTTTTGAAAATAGTACCATGGAATGGGAGATAAAATATTTATCCTTTGAACTTAAAGTACAGAAAGAAATGTCAAACTTGATTTAAAATGTGATTTGCTAAGACCAAACCAGTCCACTACCTTAAGTACACATATTCTTATTTTTAGACATCCATTTTTGTCCAGCCTGCGACTTTTGTCGCAGAAAGCTCGACATAGGGATAGTGATCCGGCGGCGGCGTTAGCTAACTTCTTAAAAGCTTTATATTTTAGAAGCTAGAAGACCTGGATGCTTCATACTTTGTATATAGATGCCTTATGTTAAGAAGTTTCCGTCTGTCATATGTCCATTGTCCTTGATCTCATTTTCATGGTTCAGTGACTACCGGTACTTGAAAAAAAAGTCAACATTTTTTGTAATGTTAATTTCTTTCTTATTATGAGTAATAGGATAACTATATTTAGTATGTGCGTACCTTGCAAGGTCTTCATGCCCGTCAGACAATTTTCATTTGACCTCAACCTCATTTCATGGATCAGTGAACAAGGTTAAGTTTTCGTGGTCAAGTCCATATATCAGGTACTATAAGCAGTAGGTCTACTATATTTGGTATATGGAATGATTGTAAGGTGTACATGTCCAACTGGTAGGTGTCATCTGACCTTGACCTCATTTTCATGGTTCAGTAGTCAAAGTTAAGTTTTTGAGTTTTGGTCTTTTTTTCTAATACTATATGCAATAGGTCAACTATAAATGGTGTATGGAAATATTTTATGATGTACATGTCAGTCTCACAGGTTTTATTTGACCATGACCTCATTTTCACGGTTCATTTCTCAGTGTTAAGTTTTTGTCGAGCCTGCGACTTTTGTCGAAGAAAGCTCGACATAGGGATAGTGATCCGGCGGCGGCGGCGTTAGCTAACTTCTTAAAAGCTTTATATTTTAGAAGGTGGAAGGTCTGGATGCTTCATACTTTGTATATGGATGCCTCATGTTACGAAGTTTCTGTCAGTCACATGTCCAATGTCCTTGACCTCATTTTCATGGTTCAGTGACTACTTGAAAAAAAAGTTAAGATTTTTTGTAATGTTAGATTGTCTCTTATTATAAGTAATAGGATAACTATATTTGGTATGTGCGTACCTTGCAAGGTCTTCATGCCCGTCGGACAGTTTTCACATGACCTCGACCTCATTTCATGGATCAGTGAACAAGGTTAAGTTTTAGTGGTCAAGTCCATATCTCAGATACTATGAGCAATAGGTCTAGTATATTCGGTGTGTGGAAGGACTGTAAGGTGTACATGTCCAACTGGCAGGTGTCATCTGACCTTGACCTCATTTTCATGGTTCAGTGGTTATAGTTAAGTTTTTGTGTATTGGTCTGTTTTTCTTATACTGTATGCCATAGGTCTACTATATTTGGTGTATGGAATGATTGTAAGGTGTACATGTCTAGCGGGCAGGTGTCATCCGACCTTGACCTCATTTTCATGGTTCAGTGGTCAAAGTTAAGTTTTTGAGTTTTGGTCTTTTTTTCTAATACTATATGCAATAGTTCAACTATATTTCGTATGTGCGTACCTTGCAAGGTCCTCATGCCCGTCAGACAGTTTTCACTTGACCTCAACCTCATTTCATGGATCAGTGAACAAGGTTAAGTTTTGGTGGTCAAGTCCATATCTCAGATACTATGAGCAATAGGTCTAGTATATTCGGTGTATGGAAGGACTGTAAGGTGTACATGTCCAACTGGCAGGTGTCATCTGACCTTGACCTCATTTTCATGGTTCAGTGGTTATAGTTAAGTTTTTGTGTATTGGTCTGTTTTTCTTATACTGTATGCCATAGGTCTACTATATTTGGTGAATGGAATGATTGTAAGGTGTACATGTCTAGCGGGCAGGTGTCATCCGACCTTGACCTCATTTTCATGGTTCAGTGGTCAAAGTTAAGTTTTTGAGTTTTGGTCTTTTTTTCTAATACTATATGCAATAGTTCAACTATATTTCGTATGTGCGTACCTTGCAAGGTCCTCATGCCCGTGAGACAGTTTTCACTTGACCTCAACCTCATTTCATGGATCAGTGAACAAGGATAAGTTTTAGTGGTCAAGTCCATATCTCAGATACTATGAGCAATAGGTCTAGTATATTCGGTGTATGGAAGGACTGTAAGGTGTACATGTCCAACTGGCAGGTGTCATCTGACCTTGACCTCATTTTCATGGTTCAGTGGTTATAGTTAAGTTTTTGTGTATTGGTCTGTTTTTCTTATACTGTATGCCATAGGTCTACTATATTTGGTGTATGGAATGATTGTAAGGTGTACATGTCTAGCGGGCAGGTGTCATCCGACCTTGACCTCATTTTCATGGTTCAGTGGTCAAAGTTAAGTTTTTGAGTTTTGGTCTTTTTTTCTAATACTATATGCAATAGTTCAACTATATTTCGTATGTGCGTACCTTGCAAGGTCCTCATGCCCGTCAGACAGTTTTCACTTGACCTCAACCTCATTTCATGGATCAGTGAACAAGGTTAAGTTTTAGTGGTCAAGTCCATATCTCAGATACTATGAGCAATAGGTCTAGTATATTCGGTGTATGGAAGGACTGTAAGGTGTACATGTCCAACTGGCAGGTGTCATCTGACCTTGACCTCATTTTCATGGTTCAGTGGTTATAGTTAAGTTTTTGTGTATTGGTCTGTTTTTCTTATACTGTATGCCATAGGTCTACTATATTTGGTGTATGGAATGATTGTAAGGTGTACATGTCTAGCGGGCAGGTGTCATCCGACCTTGACCTCATTTTCATGGTTCAGTGGTCAAAGTTAAGTTTTTGAGTTTTGGTCTTTTTTTCTAATACTATATGCAATAGTTCAACTATATTTCGTATGTGCGTACCTTGCAAGGTCCTCATGCCCGTCAGACAGTTTTCACTTGACCTCAACCTCATTTCATGGATCAGTGAACAAGGTTAAGTTTTGGTGGTCAAGTCCATATCTCAGATACTATGAGCAATAGGTCTAGTATATTCGGTGTATGGAAGGACTGTAAGGTGTACATGTCCAACTGGCAGGTGTCATCTGACCTTGACCTCATTTTCATGGTTCAGTGGTTATAGTTAAGTTTTTGTGTATTGGTCTGTTTTTCTTATACTGTATGCCATAGGTCTACTATATTTGGTGAATGGAATGATTGTAAGGTGTACATGTCTAGCGGGCAGGTGTCATCCGACCTTGACCTCATTTTCATGGTTCAGTGGTCAAAGTTAAGTTTTTGAGTTTTGGTCTTTTTTTCTAATACTATATGCAATAGTTCAACTATATTTGGTATGTGCGTACCTTGCAAGGTCCTCATGCCCGTCAGACAGTTTTCACTTGACCTCAACCTCATTTCATGGATCAGTGAACAAGGTTAAGTTTTAGTGGTCAAGTCCATATCTCAGATACTATAAGCAATAGGTCTAGTATATTCGGTGTATGGAAGGACTGTAAGGTGTACATGTCCAACTGGCAGGTGTCATCTGACCTTGACCTCATTTTCATGGTTCAGTGGTTATAGTTAAGTTTTGGTGTTTTGGTCTGTTTTTCTTATACTGTATGCCATAGGTCTACTATATTTGGTGTATGGAATGATTGTAAGGTGTACATGTCTAGCTTGCAGGTGTCATCCGACCTTGACCTCATTTTCATGGTTCAGTGGTCAAAGTTAAGTTTTTTGAGTTTTGGTCTTTTTTTCTAATACTTTATGCAATAGTTCAACTATATTTGGGGTATGGAAATATTTTATGATCTATTTGGCAGTCATGCAGGTTTTATTTGACCTTGACCTCATTTTCAAGGTTCATTGCTCAGTGTTAAGTTTTTGTGTTTTGGTCTGTTTTTCTTAAACTATAAGCAATAGGTCAACTATATTTGTTGTATGGAAGAATTGTTAGCTGTACATGCCTGTCTAGCATGGTTCATCAGACCTTGACCTCAATTTCATGGTTCATTGGTCAATGTTTAGTTTACTTGGTTAATGTTAAGTTTATGTGACAGTTGTAATAAAGCTTTATATTTAGGACTATCAACATAATATCAATGATTAGTAAAGAAGGCGAGACATTTCAGCGCGTGCACTCTTGTTGTGTTTTGGTCTGTTTTTCTATAAGCAATAGATCAACTATATTTGATGTATGGAAGGATTGTAAGGTGTATATGTCTGTCTGGCAGGTATTATCTGACCTTGACCTCATTTTCATGGTTCATTGGTCAATGTTAAGTTTTCATGGTTAAATTTGTTTCTTAGATACTATAAGCAATAGGTCAACTATATTTAATGCCAAAATTGATTGTAAGGTGTACATGTCTGTATGGAAGAATTGTTAGCTGTACATGCCTGCCTAGCATGGTTCATCTGACTTTGACCTCATTTTCATGGTTCATTGGTCAATGTTAAGTTTCCTTGTTTAAGACTGTTTCTTAGAAACAATAAGCAATAGGTCAACTATGTTTGGTTTATTGAATGATTGTAAGGTGTACATGTATTTCTCGTTTGGTTTATCTGACCTTGAACTCATTTTCTTGGATCATGTTAAGTTTATGTGTTACTTGTAGTAAAGCTTTGTATTTAGGACTATCAACATAAAATCAATGGTTAGTAAAGAAGGCGAGACATTTCAGCGTGTGCACTCTTGTTTTATGTAATGTGATTGTTCATTGATTTATGGGGATGTGTAATTACAGAGTTTAATTTTCTGAGCATACAATATTTGCACTGGATCTACGTTAACATTTCACCTTTTACTTTAAGTTTGGATCATACAGATTTATTTAGTTCCTATAGCTAAACAAAAAATGAAATTTATCAGAAACTTCTGATAGAAACAAACCAAATGTATATATTGTAATTGATATTTATTTCATCAGGTGCTTATATAATTTATATATAAATATTTGAAAACTGTGTGCAATGGGGTTTTTCTGTATCTAGTTTGTACTATGGCCGCCTGGTTGTATTATATCGTTCTGATTATGCATGAAATATTTGCCACTGGACAATTAGCAAACTGCTATCAATATTTTCTGAATTCATGAAGCTTTTTTGCTGTGAATGTTTCAATCACATTTTACCCCTTTTTAGGAGGGCCAATTAGGGAAGTGTTCTTATTAGACAGTCACAGTCCCTATCACCTTTGACTGTCACTACTATGGAAGGTGTTTAAGCCTTGCTCACAATGGTCATTCACAAAAATAGCAAGGTACATTTTGTCTCGCCTGTGATTTTACATATCATAGACATAGGGATTACAATCTGACGACGGCAGCATCAGCTTAAACTATTTGTATTAAGCTTTATATTTCAGAAGGTCGAAGATCTGGATGCTTCATACCTTGTATGCAGATACCTTATGTTATGAAGTTTCTGTCTGTCACATGTGAAATACTTATGACTTTATGAGTAACTACCGGTATATTTAGTATTTAGGATCCTTGCAAGATCTTCATGTTTGTCAGATAGGCTTCACATGACCTCGACCTAGTCTCCCTTGACTTTAACCTTTGACACGTATGATAGTAATACATTGTCAAATTTGTGTCCTGGGCATATCTTTTGAACCGTTGCATCATGGGCTTTGGGTCAGTCATATATCAAAGACAGGTTACCCTTGCCTTGACTCTGACCTTTGACCCCTATGATAGTAAAAACTTGTCTGATTTGTGTCCTGCACATAACTTTTGTATCATAGAACTTTATAACTTAGTATGCAGTTGCATCATGGGCTGAGGTGTGTCATATACCAAAATCAGGTCACTCTGACCCCTATGATATTAAAACCTTGTCTGATCTCAATACTGAATTTCACAGCAGCAACTAAAATGCATACACAGGGGGTATTACTGCCACTATGCGGACAGCTCTAGTTAGTATATGGAATGATTGTAAGGTGTACATGTCTATCTGGGATAGTTCATCTTACTTTGACCTCATTTTCAAGGTTCATAAGTCAATGTTAATTTTGCATGGTTGTATCTTTTTTCAGATACTAATAGGTCAGCTATATTTGGTGTATGGAATTATTGCATGGTGTACATGTTGTCTGGCATGGTTCATCTGACCTTGACCTTATTTACATGGATCAGTGATAATGTTAAGTGTATGTGATACTTGTTGTAAAACCTTCACATTACAGACCTTCAACATAAATTCAATCATGTGAACTTTTGTTATTTCAAGTATATGATGTCAATTACTCTCAAATGGTTGAATAATCATTATAGATGTTGGGTATACATCAATGAAACAGGATAAAAAAATAACCAAAAGACATCTAGAGGGCAACATACAGTCTTAACAATAGATAGGTGTCAATACAATATGTCAAGTGAATAAATTTATCAGAAACAACCAAAGATCTGTCATTATTACCCAATTTTCCAAATAATAAAGAAAAATATTTAGATGTGACATAAGAAAACTTCAGATTAGGTTCCTGACTTTACAGGCACATGAAAATGTGGCTGGGTTAAACTAGCTTTTATCTCAGTTTGAGCTTTTGCCTTCACTTGGTGTCCATTGTCTGTTGTGGTTTTAAGGCTTAAATGAGGATTTTTACCCTTTTTCTGTGTTTTTGGCAAAAACTATAGTTGATGGATTGAAACTGTAAACAGAAAAAAGTATCAACACTATAGATCTAGAGCAAAGAGATTTTAATCATGAATTTAATTCAAGTTTACTAATTGTTGGAGAGTGTTCATTGTTGAAGATGCACATAGACTTAGTTGAGCAACACAGGCTCTTTAGAGCCGTTTTTAATTCTCAGCCCTCATCCTCTTTAAGTAGATTCACAAAACATACATAAAAGAACATGCAATAATAACCAGTACAGGTTAGTGGTTTACAAGTGTTTTCCCACCAATTCATTTGATGTCATGACACTGATCAATTCTATAGAAAGTGCAGTTAAACCTAATCACACACCAACTATTTTTTGTATTCAAGAAAACAAGTACAATATTATTCATGATATAAAATATGTATACCACAATATGACCACACTGTTTGTTGCTAATTATAACTAGAAAAAAAGCTAAAATCATCAGACATGATATAATTATTTAATCAGTGCTAGATAAGGGTAACTAACTCTTAACAAACTGTCTATTTTAATGGTATTAGCTAAGATACAAGCAAAGATAATCCATGTACATTTATAATTATCATGAATCAAACAAATTATTGATTCAATGTATAGAATTCTATGATAAAAAAAAATATAGCAATAAATAGATACACACAAAGTAAGAAATGTTATTCAGATAATCAAAATTATATTGTGAATTATTAGCAAAAATATGAGTTGCAATATTATGCTATTACAAATATGGTGTAACGTTAAATCAGTTCAGAAAATGTGGCTTTTCTCTGTCTTGTATTAAGGTAGAACAGGAGTATAAAATAGTGGAACACATCTCAGACCTTAGACAGAAGTTCAATTTAGGGGTGATCCGAGGTCCCTGACCTTCCATTTTTGGGTTGGGACCTTCCCACCGGTAGTTAGCTATACCCAACAGACTTTCATATTTTGCAGGTTAAGAATATAACAAAAGCATTTTTAAACAAAAAATATAAATATCTAGTATAAAAATAATCTAAAAAATATGTAACTTTATTGAAAGGAAACTTATGTGGTTGCTTAAATTCTTCACAATTGATTTGATGTGCAGTCAAATGACTCGTTGTTGTACAAGATACCGGGAAACTCAAGAATATATTATTCAAACTTTACTAGTAAACGGTACAAAATTTTTTGGTTTTTGGGTGACCTCTTCCAAAAGAAAACCTAATGAAACGGGTGATACAGCAGGGGTAATTGATGAAATGCAGCCAGAAAGACAGGATCTGACTAAAAACCAAAAGTATGAAAGTGAAAAGCAAGAACATAAATGTTTGCCCCAAATGGCCTAATGGAAGGTTAATCATCCTTGGCTGGATTTCGATGAGGCAACTGGTTTATCCCACACACAGTGAAAGGGAAGGTGCCCTGGTTTGTTGGACAAAAAACTTAAAACTTGACCCCATAAAAAATCGTGAAACTACTTTCCAGCGTCTATCTTGCCAAAAACAGTGGTTAAAAGAAACTGACTCCAAGTTCTTAAAAAAAAATTCAGCAGTTATCTCACAAAAAGTTAGGCCAGTGTGTTCTTAAGCAGCATTTGAAACTCAAACAAATAAAACGGTACAAGGTGTTATTTAACACAGCATATAGTGTTGGGGAAAAAGGGGAAGCCTTTTTCTGACTGAATTTATTTTAGAAGTTCAGAAAAAAATTCAGTTGATTTACAAAATGTAGTAAGACGTGATGAGTGCTTTGGAAGGGTAAGTATTATCTGTTTTTATTAAATTAATTTTCAATTAAAATTGGATCTTCTAAGAATAAAGAAGGACCTTTCCGTCTTTTTAATCAAAGTTCCTGGACCTTCCATTGCCTAAAGAAAATCTGAACCCCTGCATTGATGATTTAAATTGAGTTTTTACTATTTAAAATTATGTTTTCTAGTCCTGAATCTAATGCCTGACAAAAATAATTATATAAAATTATTATAGCTAATTAAAAATCACACAAGTTGCTGTCAGCAAACATATAATTTACTCTGGTTTACCATAAAGCATAAAAATATGGATGTTTTAACATCCTGATATGGACACATCATATAACTTGGCCTCCTTGGTTCTACTACTTACTGGTCTACTACATCCTATGTAGAGTTGTCCTGTTGGAGAGAATGTAAGAGAAGATGGTGCCATTATGTTTATGTCACTTGTTTTATAATATGTCATCAATAGGCCAGCATGGTTCAGGATATGAAGTGTATCAGTATCCAGATCAGCTACAATAACATTGTCTCTAGGTGTTGTCACTATGTCTGATGGTCTGAACGGTCTGTCCTTGTTGACCTCTGTATGTCCTGTATATATATTGATTATATCACCACCCTGTCCTAACACTACTACTCTAGATCTGTCATCACTTACTCTATCCACCACATGAATATTCCCATTACTGGTACTGGTTATTCTGAAGGGATTGATAAATATAGGTTGTTTATGTTGATCATGTTCATACACTCTCTCATGGTCTCCATTTTGATTCATTAGTATTACAACTCTTCTTTCTTTATTACCACCTCCTACTAGAACTTTATTGTCACTGGTGGTAAAGACTGCTGTAGGTTCCAATGGTGACACATCATATACTGAGTCTGTTACTGTACCTGTATGACTACTGATTTGTTTTAGTCTTGATCCTCTTGTAGATATAAGTAGATTGTTTGATTGAGTAACATCCATACCATAGACCTTGATATTATACTTGGATAGTATCTTCAGTTTGGTTCCATCAGGTTTCACTTTTTGAACTAAACCAAAAATACCAGAACTTATCCAGAAAGACTGATCAATAGAGGAGCATACAAATGTTACAGTCTCAAGTTCAGTTTGATATTGTTTATTTATTTCCAGATTAATATGGGGTTGAAGAGATGGATTTTCATCATATTCCAACACCCCAATATTAACCTGAGTGATCTCCCCTGGAACAAAGTGTGGTATAGATACATAACTTGACCTTGGTTGGGGCATTTTGATGTCAAAAGATTTTTCTAAATTGTTTACTTCTGTAAAGAACTTGGAGACATTGCATATTTGAATGAATTCCTGGACTTCATTGTTTTTATTGTCAGCTTGTTTTAGAATAACTGAGACTGCATTTAAGTCAGATTTGATTGTGTTAGAAACAGAGTTGTGATTCTGATCCAATTTATCTCTGAGTTCTTTAAAATACTTTTCAACAGCTGCTTTGACAGATTGTTCATGCTTTAGAACATCTTGCTTTACCTGGCTGTATTTAGAATTTTCCGTTGATAAAAGTTGGTGAAGCTGTTCTTTTTTAGAAACAATTGCTTTCCTCTCCCTTTGAATTTTACTTTGTCCTTTTTTCAACTTGTCTATTTTCATATCATATCCTTCCTGAATTTCTGTTAGATCATGTTTCTTGTGAACTTTTGACACACAGGATGGACAAACTAGAGTGTCACATGTCTTACAATAAAGACAGGTATATTGTCCAGCATGGTCCTGACAGGGAATGTTTGCAAATTCTAGTTCTTCTTTATATAATCCAATGTCTTTGATATTGATTATTCTGTGATCCTTTGCAGTTTTTACTCTTAAATGTACCTTCTCCTTACAATGATTACACAATAAAAGGTCACAATCTAAACACTTCCATTTAATAGGTCTATCAGTTTCACATAATCCACAACTTACAGGAATTTGTCCTTTTCTAATGGATTGTGAAAACGCCATTGTTTAGTGCTACACAGGTATTCTACTTCCTTGTTTTTGATCAGGTTACCTTCTTGTAAAACTAATTCAAGGTTAGATATTTTTAGAAATTTTTATCAGCTATAAATATAGAATTTGATAAGGTTACTGCATGTATTCAGGTGAAAAACAATTTAATATTTAAAGTTTAATGAAGACACTTATTGATTCTAATGCAATGCATATTCCTGCCAAATAGTTTTTATGCCCCCGCCGTAGCGGAGGGGGCATTAAGTTATACCCTTGTCCGTCTGTACGTACGTCGGTACGTAGGTCCCAAAGTTGGTTTCTGTTCTCTAACTTTAGTTTGCCTCAACCAAATGTTATGAAACTTATACACAATGCTTATTACCACAAAACACAGATCAAGTTTGAATTTTGGTGGCGTCACTATAACCGTTCTAGAGTTATGCCCTGTACAAATGGAAAAATTGCTGAATTTTTCGTTTCCGCTCTGTAACTTTAGTTTGCCTCAAACAAATGTTATGAAACTTATACACAATGCTTATTACCACATAATACAGATCAAATTCGAAATTGGGTGGCGTCACTTTTACCGTTCTTGAGTTATGCCCCTTTATAAACATAAAAATTGATGAATTTTTCGTTTCTGTTCTCTAACTTTAGTTTGCCTCAACCAAATGTTATGAAACGTATACACAATGCTTATTACCACATAATACAGAACAAATTTGAAATTGGGTGGCGTCACTTTTACCGTTCTTGAGTTATGCCCCTTTATAAATGGAAAAATTGCAAAACTTTTATTTTCTTCTAAATATCAAGTAATTTTTAAAATTGGAGTTATCTTCCTTTGTCCTTGATTATAGTTGAATCAACTACAATCAATGCTTTATACAATGCAATGTTTAATTTTGACTTCCACTGATAAAACACAGATCAAGTTTAATTTGGGTAGTGTCACTTTAACCATTATTGAGTTATGCCCCTTTATAAATTGAAAGATTGCAAAATTTTTATTTTCAATTCTGTTACTTAAGTTTGCCCAACCAAATATTATGAAACCTATACACAATATTCATTACCACGAAACTAAGATCAAGTACAAATTTTTTGTTTCCGTTTTCTAACTTTAGTTTGCCTCAACCAAATGTTATGAAACTTATACACAATGCTTATTACTACATAATACAGATTAAGTACGAAATTTGGTGAGAACACTTTTACCATTCTTAAGTTATGTCCCTTTATAAACATAAAAATTGCTGAATTTTTCATTTCCGTTCTCTAACTTTAATTTGTCTCAACCAAATGTTATAAAACTTATACACAACCATTCTAGAGTTATGCGTATTTACAAATAGAAAAATTGCTGAATTTTTTAGTTTCTGTTCTCTACTTAAGTTAGCCTCCACCAAATGTTATGAGACTTACACACAATGCTTATTACCACAAAACTCAGATCAAGTTCAAATTTGTGTAGCGTTACTTTTACTGTTCTTCAGTTATGTCCCTTTATAACTATATGCTATGCAAGCGGGGGCATCATCTATGTCCACATGTGGACACTATCCACATTTATTTTTAAATGGGTGAAATAATACTAAACACTTAAGAATTGAATGCTTCTTTTTGTAAATTTATTGGGGTGTAAAAGCGTTGACAGAAGTACATTTTGTATGAAGCGCGGAAGCGCTCCATTCTAAAAATGTGCGCACGGTCAACGCTTTTACAACCCTATAAAATTACTAAAAGAAGCATTCACTCCTTATAATTACATTTTTTTGCTCGGATCGTGAAAACACGATTTCTATCAAGTTTTTCTTTTATTTACCTGTGCATTTTATTGTGGAAGCTTGCGTCATCATGAATGTTATATTTCATTTTGAAATGAAGGTTAATTTCAGAATGACACAAGATTGCTGTTAGCCAATCAAAATGACATATTATAATGAAACATATATGTAATTATTGTAGGATATGATGTAATATATATGTTAAAGCATAGTTTATTTAAGTTGGATTTATGTTGAATGGACAATGATGATATTGAAAAATAAGTGTAAAGCTAATTATCTAAGATAAAAGCTAGTGATCAAAATAAATAAAGTTAAGATGTACCTACATAGAATTATCAGAAGATATCACCTTGGCTGAAAATCAAAAACAAAAAAAACAAAACAAAATAAAAGCGGTGCCTTATTAGTGCAACTGTAAATGGGTATATCTGATAGAAGTTTCTGTATGAAAACAAAAGAAGAGGCTTACTGTATACTGTGTGTGTTTTGCTTGTTGTTGAAGGCTGTAAGGTGATCTGTAGTTGTTTACATCCTTAATGTTCTTTGGTCTTTTGTGGAAAGTCACGCTTCATTGGCAACCATACCATTTCTCCTTCTTTGAATATTAAGTGGACTGAAATAAAGATGAATATGATATTTTCTCAAAGGTTGTTAAATAAAATACATACTGAATTAATCCTGTTTTGAATGAACCCCTAGTACACGACTATATATATGAATATACTTTATTTCTTATAAAACTGGGGGCCTCAGTGGCCGAGTGGTCTAAGTAGTTACTACTGTAATCACTAGCCAGTCAACACTGAGGTTGTGAGTTCAAACCTAGCTCGTGCAGGTGCCTCGACTCCAATCTTAATTGACTAGGACTTTCAGTTTTCCTATCCAAGGTCGGTAGTTTTTCTCCATGCACTCCGGCTTCCTCCACCAATAAAAACTGGCTGTCACAATAATTGCCCAAAAGCGGTGTGTAAAAGTGGCGGTAAAACACCCAAAAATCAAATCAAATCTTCTAAAACTACAATTACGTAGTTATAGAGAACATATATAAACATAACTATAAGGTACAATTATTACATGCATGTGTGAACAATACAATGAAATTAACTTGGAGGACTGACTTCTACATTTATAACTTTGATAAATTTACATAATTTTTCTAATATTACAATATTTGATGAGTTTAACAGTTGATCAAATTTATAGATATTAGGGTTTGACCAACAGTATTGCGGTAAAAATTTCTTTCTTTCTAACTCAAATGCTCTACAATTCATAATGTAATGGTACTTGTCACCAATGTCATTTGAGTCAATGAGACGGCAGACTCTGTCTTCTCTCGATAAACCCTGCCACCTTCCAGATTCAATGGGCAGATGGTGACTACCACATCTATATTGCATAATGTATAAATGAAATTGTAAGGTAAAAATAAAAAATATTTTTCAAATTGTACATTTTTTTTTAAAATACGACAACATAAAGTTTTAGGTGATTCTGCAACTCAAGCAAAGCATTCTTGTTGAAACTGGTCTTTGAGTTTTTGCTCAATACATTTTGACACCCATTTATCAGAACACATGTAGGTTGACTTAACAATCTTTCATGAAATCCCATTTCACACTCACATTGGTTAATTAGGGTTGTTCTAATCAGTGAACTAAACTGATTATTTTACAGAAATTCAAAAAACAATATTTCAGGTTAAAGCTGCAGAATGGGCCTTAGACAATGGTGTTGCCACGGTAATTTGTAATGGTAACCAGGATCATGCCATCAGAGATATATTTGCTGCAAAGAAAATCGGAACATTTTTTACTAAAACAGAGAGTTCTGCCCCTGTAGAAGTCCAGGCTATACATGGTATGTACAAGTAGGAAAGTGATTATAATGAATAAAATCAGCAGTGGAATACATGTCAATCGGACAGCAACCCAACAATCCAAATAATTAAAAGACTTTCAAGATCTAAACTCTCCTAAAAAATTGTGAATATTGAAATCATCAAAGATATGCCATCCACACCAAATTCAACAAATAACAAAAACCTTAAAAGATATGGTATACTGTTGTTCGTCCATCCGTCCATCGTCAACATGTCGGACAATAACTAAAAAACGCTTGAATCAATTTACTTGAAACTTTGGTGAATGGTTTATATCTATTGACGTGAGCTCCCTTTTGAATTTTATAAATTTTTGATTTTACGTTTCCGAGTTATAGTGTTTTATTCATTAAAAAGGGGGAAATTCCAGTTTTCAGACAATAACTCAAAAATGCTTTGAGCAGTTTTCATGAAACTTTGGTGAATTGTTTATATCTATTGACGAAAGCTCCCTTTCCATTTTTATAAATTTTAGATTTTACGTTTCCGAGTTATGGGATTTTATTCATAAAAAAGGGGGGATTTTCAAGTTTTTGGACAATAACTCAAAAGTGCTTCGAGCAGTTTTCATGAAACTTTGGTGTATCCAATGTCAACACTCCAAGATAATTCCTTGAGAGATGCACCCTTGTGGAAATAACCCTTTCATGTTGACTATTTGGGTATTCACTTCCATAATTGAAGTGTACAGCAAATTTGAAAATACCAAGTAACAGTATTGCCATCAGAATAATAGATGCAAGGTTAGACTGAATTAAAAACAAATCATTTGCCTTTACCAATTTGAACCAGCATTTGTTGGAATGTAGCTTTGAGTTCCTAAAGTTGCTGTTTTGTTTCAGGTAATTTTACCTGATTGACTCTACTTGGAATACATTTCTGCAGCCCTTGCCTAATCCTATACATGTATTACATGAGAATTTAAGAAGATACAGTAAAAATGATTAATATTTTGGCATATAAAACAGAAAAAATAACCCAGAAGGTCTGACAGTTAATTTCTATATTTATCTGAAGCCAGTTTAAATTTTCTGTTTTATTACATCGGCTGGGGCCTAGATTTCATATAAATATTTATTAATACCAAGTCTCTACTTTCACCTGAATGTAAAAGGCTACCAAACTAGTCTCTTAATGGAGATCTATGTTTATAGTAAATAGAACATTATTTTGGGACAAATTGTTAGTGAATTGGTACTGTAGTTGTTACCTTTAATATAGATTTATTAATTAGTCAGTGGTATGCATAACTGTCAGGAGACAGGCATAGATACTGAAGTCAGAGAGAATCAAATCATAGTTAAATAATGTCAAAATTACAAATAATTATATTGTTTGAAAATATTCTTGTATTGATTTGCCTTATGTGGTACAGTATATTAATTATCTTCAAATGATGTTTAAGACCAAGAAAAAGAAAAGAAGTTTTTATTTAAATTTTTTCAGCAAGAGAAGGAAGTAGAGCATTACAAGCTTTGACTGGTGAACAGAGAGCAGTTATAATAAACAAACTAGCTGATTTATTACTAGAAAGACAGACAGATATTTTGAGTGCCAATCAGATAGATGTAGATAAAGCTTATACTGATGGTAAGTACTAGGACACTGTCTACAAGACTTTGTCAAGTTGTTAAGTTTTGTGAATTTGTTGTCTGTCTCATATATATATGTATATTGTAAAGGAGTACATGTGCACAGATGTCATATGACCTTTAGGTTTATAGAATTCATTAATTTCTAAAATTATTGAAATACTGCAGCATATAGGAAACATGTTAGATTTCCAATTCTTTTGAATTTCTGAAATTTATCATTGTACTTTGTAAAACATACAAAATACACTTAATTTGACAATAAAAAGATACCATAGATCACACAGTGCCTAAGATCAAAGACTGTACATATGCTAGAACTTGGTTGTCTAGATCTTCACGAAAGGAGTTTTACAATCATGTTTATAATTACTAATAAGAATGACCAACTGATAAAAAGATATAAACCATTAGAAATGTATTGTACTTAGTCTGTCTTTTTTTGTATATATATTTTCAAACTTTGATATTTTGCAACTGACTCCCTGCATAGAAAATGTGTTTATTTCATTACAGGCATAGACAATGTATTAATTATTATTACAGGAGTAGACAGTGTGTTAATGTTGTAACAGACATAGACAGTAATAATAATGTTAATTACTATTACAGGAGTAGACAGTGTGTTAATATCAAGACTTGTGTTAAATGAGAAGAAGCTGAAGACATTATATACAGGATTGAAACAGATAGCTAAAACATGTAATTCTATTGTGGGCAGAGTAACTAGGAGAACTCAAGTGGCCGAGGGTTTAGAACTTTGTCAGGTTACTGCACCAATAGGCGTACTGATGGTGATATTTGAATCTCGTCCAGATGCACTTCCACAGGTAAGCTATCTTTTGTTGTCAACAGGGAGCTGTTATTTGAAATTGTCCCAGGTTACTATGGCAATTAAATGTTACTTGATGAAGTCCACATATTAACAAGATGTGTTTCTTATAATACCTATCAACCTCTGAAAATGAAAATGCAGGTCATGACTGGTCAAATGTTTTTCAGTTGAATTTTAGCATTTAGAGGATTTTTTTAATATTCTATAACATATTTAAATTTCGTACAAATGTTCACACTTGTGAAGTATTTGCTGAAAATTATTTTAAATTTCTACTTTTGTTTTCATTTTAATTTCATTGTATATGTTAAATATTTATTAATAATCAAATACCAATATAAAGCAATGCCCTTTAATTGTTTCATTCACACTATTATTTATTAATGAATTTTATAGAACCAAACTATAATAAGAAATCAGATATAGCTAATGTGCTCCTATACATAGGAGGAAGATTTACTGTTGTTTACATTGTGTGCATATGCAGAGCACATGGGTTTTTAAGTGACAACAAATATAAAGGTTCAAAATTGTTTAGGGACTTGTACCTCTTTACAGATATAAATGAAGAGGTTCAGATTGTTTTAAAATTGATTTTAATAGGATGATTGATACTTGCATACAGCAAATTTTATAAATCAGGACATAAAATTGTATGTCTAGCTTGACTGGCTTCAACCATTCTACGGTACAATTAATGAGATAATTAGTGAATTGTTCAATCAAAAAAGTGTCAAAATTAAGTTTTGATATCTGTAAAACATTCAATTGAGAGCAAATTATCGAAATTCCTATCCATGAAGAATTTGAATTTGCTGTTTTCAAGAGGAAAATCTAGCATTTTAGACATTGGAAGTCTCATGGCACTAGAATAAGGGTGAAAACTTGTCATTTGATGAAATCCCAGGTTATTTGATGACCCTGGCTGGTATTGAAATATCTTGGGTGAGCACTAAAACTCCTTGGTGTTACTCGCAAAAATAGGATCAGTTGACAGGTATGTTAATTCTTGATTTTTGTCTTGTTGGGTTATTGTCTCATTGAGCCGTGCTATCCTTCCCAGTACTTAAATTGTTACGAGCATGTAAAAACAGTATTTATTTTATTTTGCCTATTTTTATACGACCGCAAAAATTTTTTTATGGTCGTATATTGGTATGACGTTGTCATCGTCGTCGTCGTCCGAAGACACATTGGTTTTCGCACTCTAACTTAAGTTTAAGTGAATGGATCTCTATGAAATTTTACCACAAGGTTCAATACCACAAAAGGAAGGTTGGGATTGATTTTGGGGGTTATGGTACCAACAGTAAAGGAATTAGGGGCCAAAAAGGGGCCAAAAATAAGCATTTTTGTAACTTCCAGACATACCTTGTGTGTTAGTGTATGGATCTCTCTGACATTGTACCACAAGGTTCCATATCACAAAAGGAATGCTGGGATTGATTTTGGGGGTAATTGCCTCAAAATTTTAGGAATTAGGGGCCAAAAAAGGGGCAAAAAACAAGCATTTTTCTAGTTTCATGACAATAACTTGTGTGTAAGTGTACGGATCTTTCTGAAATTGTACTACAAGGTTCCATATCACAAAGGGAAAGCTGGAATTGAGTTTGGGGGTAATTGCCGAAACCTTTAGGAATTGGGGGTCAAAAAGGGGCCAAAAATAAGCATTTTTCTAGTTTCCAGACAATAACTTGTGTTCAAGTGTATGGATCTCTCTGAAATTGTACTGCAAGGTACCATACCACAAAGGGAAGGCTGGGATTGATGATGGGGGTAATTGCCTCAATATTTTAGGAATTAGGGGCCAAAAAGGGGCAAAAAACAAGCATTTTTCTAGTTTCAGGACAATAACTTGTGTGTAAGTGTATGGATCTTTCTGAAATTGTACTACAAGGTTCCATATCACAAAGGGAAAGCTGGGTTTGAGTTTGGGGGTAATTGCCCTAAAGGTTTAGGAATTTGGGGCCAAAAAGGGGCCAAAAAACACATTTTTCTAGTTTCCAGACAATAACTTGTGTTCAAAAGTATGGATCTCTCTGAAATTGTACTGCAAGGTACCATACCACAAAAGGAAGGCTGGGATTGAGTTTGGGGGTGATGAATCATTAGGGGGTTCAAAAAATTTGGGGGGGGATTTTTTTTTTTTTTTCCTTTTTTTTCTTTTTTTCCTTTTTTTTTTCTTTTAAAATTTTCCATTTTAAGTTGGTTATTTCTGATTTATATTTAAAAGCAAATAATAATGATATGGTAGGAGATACACACCAAACAGGATGTGTAAATTATTATATAATAAGTATTGTGCAATAGTAAGAAATTTTCAATTGCACAGTATTGCACAATAGCAAGAAATCTTCAATTGCACAGTATTGCGCAATAGCAAGAAATCTTCAATTGCACAGTATTGCGCAATAGCAAGAAATATCCAATAGCACAATATTGCGCAATAGCAAGAAATTGTCAATTGTACAGTATTGCACAATAGCAAGAAATATTTAATTGCACAGTATTGTGCAAAAGAAGATACTTCGTATAAATTGCTTATTTCTTGACCAATTTCAATGGGGTTTTATTCTTGAATTCTTGGGGTTCTTTAATATGCTGAATCTAACCGTGTATTTAGTTTTTGGATTTTGGGCCCCGTTTTTAAATTGGTCCACATTGAGGTCCAAAGGGTCCAAAATTAAACTTTGTTTGATTTCATCAAAAATTGAATTATTGGGGTTCGTTGATATGCCGAATCTAACCGTGTATTTAGATTCTTAATTTTTGGTTCTGTTTTCAAATTGGTCTACATTAAGGTCCAAAGGGTCCAAAATTAAACTTAGTTTGATTTTAACAAAAATTGAATTCTTAGGGTTCTTTGATATGCTGAATCTAAACATGTATTTAGATTTTTGATTATGGGCCCAGTTTTCAAGTTGGTCCAAATCGGGGTCCAAAATTAAACTTTGTTTGATTTCAACAAAAATTGAATATATGGGGTTCTTTGATATGCTGAATCTAACCATGTATTTAGATTTTTGATTTTTGGGCCCCGTTATCAACTTTGTCCACATTTAGGTCAAAAGGGTCCAAAATTAAACTTTGTTTGATTTCATCAAAAATTGAATTCTTGGGGTTCTTTGATATGCTGAATCTAACCATGTATTTAGATTTTGGATATTGGACCATAATAGGTGAATGTCCAATTTAAAATTTTTAAGTTCTTAGACCACCTTCATTCTGTGTCAGAAACCTATGCTGTGTCAAATATTTAATCACAATCCAAATGCAAAGCTGTATCAAGCTTGAATGTTGTGTCCATACTTGCCCCAACTGTTCAGGGTTCGACCTCTGCGGTCGTATCAACCAGTGCCCTGCGGAGCATTTTATTATATGATAAACACCATATTACAAATGTACATCTATTGTTAGGTAGCAGCTCTGGCTATTAGTAGTGCTAATGGTTTGTTACTAAAAGGAGGAAAGGAAGCATCTAACAGTAATAAGTTATTACATGAATTGGTGGAAGAGGCATTGGAACCTTTTGTTCCTAAAGAAACCGTAGCTTTGGTAAGTTTATATACCCTATCAATCATGAAAAATATATCCAATCAATCATGGAAAATGATAAACAAGCTTTGATAAATAAGTGCAATTTGTCAATTTATATACGTGCTGAAAAAAGATTTTAACAGTAAAAAGAAAATTGCATGAAAGTCTAGATTTTATGTGCTATTCAGAATTATGAGTCAAAAGACAATTTTTATTTTTTATTTAGTTTGATGTCTGTTTTATCAAACTATTTTGACATAAAATGATGAGCAATCAGCTTTGTCAGTCCTTTATTATAAACATTGACTTGTTCATTGCTTGCATTTGACATAACCTTATGCTATAACTGATAATTCTCTTTTATAATTTTGTACACTTGCTTAAGAACTAGCATGATGCTTTTACTAAATTAATTATTAATTTCTAAAAACTTATTTTAGTAAGGAATTTGGAAAAAGAAAAAAAAACTCAAGTTTCCTTGCTTGCTTCAATCAGCAGATTTTTAGACAGATCAACCTCATACATGATTTATCTAAAATATAAGGCTGTATTTAGAGAGAAAAGATACTAAGGGGGCATTCAAAAATCATAGGTCCAATTAAAGCAGGTAATACCATTACCACAATTAAATCTACAAAAAAAAACAATAACCAAACGATACACAGAAGACCAAAGATTGAGCAACATGAACACCACTAAAAACGGGATGAACTCATGTGCTCCAGAAGGTCTAGCCTGTCTGCTCCATATGTGGCACCTGTATATATGATGAACTCATGTACTCCAGAAGGTCTAGTCTGTCTGCTCCACATGTGGCACCTGTATATATGATGAACTCATGTGCTCCAGAAGGTCTAGTCTGTCTACTCCACATGTGGCACCTGTATATATGATGAACTCATGTGCTCCTGAAGGTCTAGTCTGTCTGCTCCAAATGTGGCACCTGTATATATGATGAACTCATGTGCTCCAGAAAGTCTAGCCTGTATGCTCCACATGTGGCACCTGTATATATGATGAAATCATGCTTTATATTCTATTTGTTTTAAACTTTGGTGTTTCATTATTTTTTGATACAAATAGTATCACATATTACTTTGTAAACTTTACCTTACCATTTGGAAGATCGTTCTATATAGAAAAGAATAACGCTTGTGGATTTAGATACTGCATCAAGTCATTTCTAAACAAATAAAAGGGGAATCCTAATGTTGACCTTACTATACACAAACTGTCCTTAAAGTACGATACTTGCAATAAATGGAACCTTCCTTTAATTGCAAACCTTAAAAAGATGTTACAACCCAATCAAAAATAAAATTAATAAGTAACTAAGGGATATTTAACCTTTTCAGCCTGATTTAAGAAGTGTATGTTTGGAAGAAAATTCTGAAAAAAATAATCATTTCAATCAAGTCTTCCAGGACATATTTGGCTATACAAATTTATGAGAAATATATAATAAAACTTTGCTATTTTTTGTCTCGTAAATTTTAAAACCACATATTTTCATTTCAAGAACGTGTTGGTCTTTTCCTGGTTAATTGAAATGCTGTTTCTATTTATTACAATATCTTCAGTTTGTGCTTACTTGTCAAATCAACAGATTATAAAATTGTTGCAAAATACAATTTTGCAGTGACAATTGGACTGAATCAACATACTGTGCTGTTAAAAATGTAAAATTTGTTAAGATAATTTCATGATACCTGGGCTATTTTGACCTTAAAATATACCTTCTTTCAAAACTCAGTTCTAGGCATGAAATACAAATTTATAATATAGAAATAAGGTGTGGAATGATTGACATTGAGACAACTGACCACCAAAAGACAAAAGGACAAGGATGATAGCAACAGCAGGTCACTATATGGCCTTCAACAATGAGCAAAATCCATACAATATAGGTAAATATAAAAGGCCCCTGTTAAGGATGTTCGCTGCTCTTGTTTTTGACATTTTGTCAGATATTCAGAATCCTCTGGTTTTATCCATGTAATGCCATTAAAAATTTTGCCCACTAACCCCTACTTTTCTTTTCATAATTTAATTAAATATAGTTTAAAAGCCATTATTGAAAATCTTATCAAATCCTTGTTATTTTATCATAGTTTTTGAAAGAAAAAAGGTGCCAATTTTCAATGTATGAAAAATCAAGAGAAAACCATTTCCCACGAAATTTCCAATGGCTCATATCTCAAAAACAAAGACATGGAGCTATAATTTTTTTCTACTGCCTAAGTTCCGTTATTTATATACTATGAATTTTTCTCTAATTTTTACCCGATTTATCCTTTTCCTGACATGTTGATTATTTTTATTTAATCAACGTGTGGTTCGTTTGATCTGAGTTCTTCATTGGTCAAAATTCGATTATGATGTCAAATTTTCTTGCTTTCTTCTGTATTTCTTTATGTGACAACATGAAGAAAGGTGACCATGGATGATGACATCACATAGAAAGAACACATCTTTTTGCAGATCATTCGAAAAGAAGGATTAAGATTGTCTGTAAATCATTAGAGAAACAGAATTCACCTAAATCTCGTGCAATACAATATTGATCTACTCTTGACAGTTAAAATTTAAATATTTAAAACACTTAGCGAGTCTCGCATTTAAATTTGAAAGTTTAATTGTCTTGAGTGGATAATTATTGTATCACACTCGATGCAGTGGTAGATTCTGTATACAACAGTCTTTTAAAAAGCTTGTTATTTTGAAACAGAATAGCGAACATCCTTAACAAAATGTGAAAACGGTCTGAATTAAGCAATTTGTGATTTTACAGATAAATGAGGTACAGTAAAGAAGGGAACAAGGGATAAGCTTCAGATGCCTTTTAAAAAGCTATATACTCTGAAATTAGATGCTTTAAAACAGCTTTGAATTATTGGTGGAGGGGTGGATTTGGATAATTGAAAAAAATCATTAAAATATGTCACAATACTCAGATCTTTCCTCACCTATACTCCTTTCAAAATAACAACATTTTTCATTAAAACTTATTCTCATATTTTTGATATTTTATAAAATATGGCTATTGAATTGAAAATTTTTATTAAGCCTTGAGATCATGAAGGATACAGATTCAAATCTGCTTTGATATTTTCTTCATTTTTTACACAAAAAAACCAAAGTGGTGAAATATTAGTTCAATTATAAATGATCGTGAACCCAAAAAAATCTTTAACCTCTTTAAATCCTGGTTGATATAACTTCATACAGCAACTATAACTTTTATACTGGGATTCTTTCCTATTCAATATTCACTAGGCCTTGGTTTACTCTTGTATATACTGGTACACAGTATATAAAAAAGAAGTGCGGTATGATTGACAATGAAGTAACTAGCCACCAGAGACCAAAGGACTGATATATTTGATATTTAGTGGTATGATTGACAATGAAGTAACTAGCCACCAGAGACCAAAGGACTGATATATTTGATATTTAGTGATATGATTGACAATGAAGTAACTAGCCACCAGAGACCAAAGGACTGATATATTTGATATTTAGTGATATGATTGACAATGAAGTAACTAGCCACCAGAGACCAAAGGACTGATATATTTGATATTTAGTGATATGATTGACAATGAAGTAACTTGCCACCAGATACCAAAGGACTGATATATTTGATATTTAGTGGTATGATTGACAATGAAGTAACTAGCCACCAGAGACCAAAGGACTGATGTATTTGATATTTAGTGGTATGATTGACAATGAAGTAACTTGCCACCAGAGACCAAAGGACTGATATATTTGATATTTAGTGATATGATTGACAATGAAGTAACTAGCCACCAGAGACCAAAGGACTGATATATTTGATATTTACAGGTGAGCAGAAAAGAAGACATAGAAGATTTGTTACAGATGACAAACTACATAGACCTTGTAATACCCAGGGGGTCTAGTGATATGATAGCTAAGATACAGGCTGCCAGTAAGGGGATACCAGTCCTTGGACACAGTGAAGGGGTCTGCCATGTTTATATAGATAAAGAAGCCAATCATGACATGGCTCTCAAGATTGGTAAATAGTATTTTAATTTCATAATTTAAGTCTGCTTAGTAGAAAGGAAATGGGAGAATGTTGAGTAAAGTTATATTAATTAAATTAAATTGTGTGTACCAACCAGCTTATTTCAGTACCTCCATTTTACAGTTTGTAATGTTAAATGTAATGACTAAAGGTACACTAATGAGATCATTGCCATTGGGAAAATACTTTCAGTTGCAGCTACAGAGGGGAAAGTACCATTTATTTCTAAAACCAAAAGAAAAGCATATTATCTTTTTTTTGTCCACTTCAACAAAGTAGAACAACTTATTTCGAAATGCTGATGTACACATACATACAATTCAGTAGCAGGGGCAGATAATAAAGCATCCAAATGTAACATGTTGTTTTCGCAATGTTACTAATAATAAACATAAAAAACAATTCAAAATTCACAACATAAATAACAAATAAGTTATGGTAATGTAAAGCAGTTGCAAAATAGAACAAACTTGCTGCAGGGGCGTAAAATTCAGGGCAATGCTGTTTACATTTTTATCAACATTAAGTTCTTATTCATGGCAGTACTTTATATACATGTAACATTTTGATGATTGACAGGAAAAGTAGCATGATGATATTGCAGTAAGAATCAGTGTGACCTAGTATAGCACCAAAACCGATCAACTAGTTTTTTTTCTGATTTAAGCTATAAATGAGCACATGGAACCCATATTTATTTTGGTAATCATTTGTGCACTGCTTCAAATATTCTTTATAAAAACTACAAGAAAAAATCAGCTTTTAGCTTTCTACTGCCAGTTATATGATATCACAAAACTTTAATCAGATTCAACCTTCACTTTGGTATCAAACTTAAAAGCATATTAAAGGATCACTGTGCAAAAAAACTGGGTTAAATAACATCTCTTTCTGTTTAAAAGATGTGTTTTTTTTCCAAAAGAGTATGAAAATATGTAATTTTGTGATATGAAACATGTCAAAACAAAATAGAACTTTCGCAGAATGTAATTCAATAATGACTTTGTGTCAAAATTTGAAGAAAAGATCAATATAAAGATCTCTTGTACCATATTCCCTTATAAAATAAGCAGAGAATAACAAAAAATGAAATATTAGGAGTTTCAAAGTTGCATTTGTCCAATAAAAAGGGAAAATTAATTCCTATATAAATTATCTGTCTCAGGAGAATTCTGTGAAAAAGCGTTTTAATGTTTTGCTTACTATATTGAGCTGACTTATATTTTTCAGTGAGAGATTCTAAGTGTGATTATCCTTCAGCATGTAATGCCGTAGAAACCGTACTGATCAATAAACATCTACTAAAGTCAACTTTCTTTGAGACACTTTTAGACATGTTGAAGAATGAAGGGGTAGGTAATGTCAACTTTCTTTGAGACACTTTTAGACATGTTGAGGAATGAAGGGGTAGGTAATGTCAACTTTCTTTGAGACACTTTAAGACATGTTGAAGAATGAAGGGGTAGGTAAAGTCAACTTTCTTTGAGACACTTTAAGACATGTTGAAGAATGAAGGGGTAGGTAATGTCAACTTTCTTTGAGACACTTTTAGACATGTTGAGGAATGAAGGGGTAGGTAATGTCAACTTTCTTTGAGACACTTTAAGACATGTTGAAGAATGAAGAAGTAGGTAATGTCAACTTTCTTTGAGACACTTTAAGACATGTTGAAGAATGAAGGGGTAGGTAAAGTCAACTTTCTTTGAGACACTTTAAGACATGTTGAAGAATGAAGGGGTAGGTAATGTCAACTTTCTTTGAGACACTTTTAGACATGTTGAGGAATGAAGGGGTAGGTAATGTCAACTTTCTTCGAGACACTTTAAGACATGTTGAAGAATGAAGAAGTAGGTAATGTCAACTTTCTTTGAGACACTTTAAGACATGTTGAAGAATGAAGGGGTAGGTAATGTCGACTTTCTTTGCGACACTTTTAGACATGTTGAAGAACAAAGGGGTATCTAAATAATAGCAGAATTATTACACATTAATTGAAATGTAATAAATCACAAAATTTTACCAATATTGTTACTACCATGCAGTCATTGAGATGCAAACAAAATCATTTCAATATTACATTTCAATATTAGTTCCCTGTCGGTGAAACTGCAACTTCAATCAAATGATAAGTTATTTTGGTACATGTATATACTGTGGATTCATTATTATTCATTGGGTACCAATTTTCGTGGATTTCGTGGGTACAGGTTAACCACAAATTTAAATGTTCAACGAATTACACATTTTCTATAAGGTTGTATGCAGACTTTGGCAAATGCATGAAATCAAATATCCACGACAATGCAAATTTTTCTCAATCCATGAAAATTGATACCCACGAAAATAAATGAATCCACAGTAGTCATATAACATTTTTATTTTTTAACAGAATACTTTCTAATTTGGTTCCGGTTAAGCAACTTTGTGCCAAAGTTGCGGCCCTAGGACAAAAAACTGCTATAAAATATCAGTTTTCTGCATGTTTTTCTGTAATGCCTGTTTCAAACCATTAGGTATTTGGTGTATTGTCAAATCATTAGAAAATATCACTATCAATTTTCCAAGGGAAATAAAAAAACCTTGATTACGGTACTCAGAGGTTAGGTTGGGCTAGCAGTTGTTGAAAATATTAGTATCTTTAAATGCTTTGACCCAATTAATGATAAGATCTTCTTAACACTTTGCCAAAATGAGCTGAAACTTCACCAGATCGTTGAAAAATGTCCATTGTGTTTGGAAGGATTTATGTACATATTTTTTAGATGAACGCAAAATTTTTGCGGTCGTAGAATGGTATGACGTTGTCGTCATTGTCGTCCGAACACATTTTATTTCCAGACAATAGCTTGAGTATAAGTTTATGGATCTCTATGAAATTGTACCACAAAAGGAAGGTTTGGATTGATTTTGGGGGTTAATGTTTTAACTGTTTAGGAATTAGGGGCAAAAAGGGTCCAAAGACAAGCATTTTTCTTGTTTCAGGACAATAACTTGTGTATAAGTGTATGGATCTCTATGAAATTGTACCACAAGGTTCCATACCTCAAAAGGAAAGTTGGGATTGATTTTGGGGGTTATGGCCCAAACCGTTTAGGAATTAGGGGCAAAAAAACAAGGATGTTCTAGTTTTCAGACAACAACTGAAGTATAAGTGTATTGATCTCTATGAAATTGTATCACAAGGTTCCATTCCAAAAAAGTTGGGATAGATTTTGGGGGTTATGGCACTAACCGTTTAGGAAAAAGGGGCCAAAAACAATACTTTTCTAATACTTTGTATAAATTGCTTATTTCTTGACCAATTTCAATGGGGTTTAATTCAAAGTCTTGAATTCTTGGGGTTCTTTGATATACTGAATATAACCGTGTATTGAGATTTTGGATGTTGGGCCCACTTTTAAATTGTAGTCCAAAGGATCCAAAATTAAACTTTACTTGATTTAAAAAAAAAAATGAATTCTTGGGGTTCTTTGATATGCTGAATCTAACTGTTATTTAGATTTTTGATTTTTGATTTTGGCCCTGGTTTTCAAATTTGTTCACATTAAGGTCCAACGGGTTCAAAATTAAATTTAGTTTGCTTTTAAGAAAAATTGAATTCTTAGTTCTTTGATAGGCTGAATCTAGACATGTATTTAAATTTTTTTTATTTTGGGCCCAGTTTTCAAGTTGGTCCAAATCGGGGTCCAAAATTAACTTTGTTTGATTTCAACAAAAATTGAATATATGCCGAATCTAACTGTGTATTTAGAAAAATGGAAATTTTAACCTTCTAAACTTCAAACATTACACTTGCAAAATTAAGTTGCATGCTGTTTGTTATGTGATGATTAGACCTCTCTGACATATTATACATGCTCCTTCTACAATATGCATAAGTTTCTTTATCTTTATAAATTTTATTGTATTGTCAGGTGAAGATATATGCTGGACCTAGAATGTCCAGTGTTTTAAAATTTGGACCACCACCTGCTGTTTCCTTACATAAAGAATATGGAGGATTAGAATTGACCATGGAAATCGTAGAAAATACCACAGAGGCTGTCAACCATATTAATAAATACAGCAGTTCACATACAGATGTTATTATAACCGATAATGGTATTATTTCCTTTTAAAAAAAAATCACAATTTTTTGCAGATACCAACTACCAGTTCAAAAAAAAAAAAAACTCATAAAAATACAAGGCTTATAATTTTATATGCTAGACACACATTTTGTCTTCACATGACTCATCAGTGGAGGTCCAATCAGAAGGGATACCAAATTAATTAGGAAAGATCATGTGAAAGAAGGCTGCATGTACTGTATTGGCCTCACAAATATCTACATAGCAATTCAATCAAAATAGCAAGTGACTATTATCTACAATACAAGGAAATAAATGTATGGTCATTTTCCAATGTTCAGATATGATTTACATAAGTATAAAATCATTGTTTGATATGGACAGATTTATTATTATGAAGTTGTTTGCTTTTGCTTTCTCTTCAGTCACCTTTGATATTTATAATCAATGTACTTTTGTTAGATTGACAATTTTCATCAAATTCATGTCATTAAATGATGATTAAGTTTTTTTTTTTGGCAATTTTTACCCCTCAGGCAAAGTTGACCTCAGATGGATTTGGCTATTATCTTTGGGTCCTTTTTGGTCTTATAGCTCTTCAACTGTTTCATTACTTTTACATCCTTGGCTTTGAGTGTTCCTGATAAATCCAGAAAAGTACATCGGAAGCATGAAATTTATAAAGCTTTTGTTTTCATTTTTTACAGCACTGTGTCAATACCGCTGCTGATGGACTATCAGTCCCAGAGGGTATCATCAGCTTTATAACAAATCTTTCATAAATTGTCTGTTTGTAAATTTATAAATAATTAAGAAACTAAGGTTTTAACTCCCTCAGGCAAAGTTGGCCTTCGATGGATTTGGCTATTATTTTTGGGTACTTTTTTTATCTTATAGCTCTTCAACTGTTCTGGTTCTTATACATCCTTGACTTTCAAATATTTGGCTTTGAACGTTTCTGATGAAGGTAAATCCAGAAAAGCAATTCAGATGCACCAAATTTATAATTATTGTTTCTATTTTTTACCCCATGCAACATTGTTATATTTATGTACAGATAGTATAGAGGAATTAAGTGTTTCTTGCTTTCAAGCAAGAGGCTTGGAAATTGGATTTTTTTAGATATATAGCCCTTTACCAGTCACATAAGGATATATTTGTTGAAAATTACCCCCTTTTTCCCATTACTTGACAGTATATACATACATTTGCCTTCATTTATGGAAGAGATTGAAATGTTTCCTGCATTCTTTGGAGCAGTTATTACCGGTAACAAGATTTGTATGAGATTACTTATTTCATAAAGTTAATTTCAGATATTTTTTTGAATAGTTTTTTGGTTGTTTTAATAGTTTTTTTGTTGTTTTTTTTTTTTATCATTTTACAATTTTTAAATCATGATTATAAACTGTATCTCCTCCATTGTTTAAGAAACATTGTGGGCTAATAGATTTTAAACCCATTTTTTCAGAACACTATGCCAGTGACTTTTTGAGTGGTGTAGACAGTGCCTGTGTATTTCACAATGCCAGTACAAGATTTGCTGATGGTTACAGATTTGGTCTAGGTATATATACTAATTATCTAACTGTTTACTCAGTGTATAGACTGCTTGATTTTATTGAACATCAGAAGAAATACACTTCTTAAAAAAGTATGTGTGCATTTGATGAAGAAATTTAAATCATTAATACATTACATGTTACAGAGCACCAAAATAGTTTCATTTCTAAAAAAAGTGATCAATGCTTCATCTACTTGAACCTTGTTCTTCATGTATTAGGAGCTTGGTTAGGGTTCTGATGGTCAGGTGTTTCAAATAAACGTTGAAATTTTCCAGCATGGGGTATTTTAGCTTATTGCATGACCATGTGAACTGTGCTTAAATAACCCCTCACGAAAACTTTGCCAACAATATTGATATGAAAGGTTAACTCATCTTCGATGAACTTAACTACCACAAAAAATGATTATAAATTGAAATCCTAAAATTATTCACATTAGTATTTTATATGACTACTAGCTTCATTTACAATTTGAATTGAATTGAGGGAATTATTTTTAAATAGCAGAGTGGTCATCCATCAACATATATATATTATACAATTTATGACTGGTCATTCAGTAAATCCATTGTAACATTATATTTGTTCTGTAGGAGCAGAGGTAGGTATCAGTACAACGAGGATCCATGCCAGGGGACCAGTAGGAGTTGAAGGGTTACTGACATCAAAATGGATTTTACAAGGACATGGACAAGCAGCCACAGATTTTACGGATGGAAATGAGCAATTTATACATAAAAGTTTACCATTGGACTACAGTGACAAAGTGGTACAAAGTAATGATCATACTTCTGAAGAACAGCAATAGAATTATTCTCAATATAAAAGTTAATGGCTACCAATGATATGGTGTTGATTATTTACAAATGCAAAATTTACAAGGTTATAATATTGCGAGGGTCATATTTCACTTATTAACATTTTCAATTTCAAATAATTGTTTGGTTTTTTTTTTTTAGACAAAAAAATTTAGATTTAGCCAAAATATTAATTTGTGTCAAGTACTATAATTTCGTATGAATTTACCAAAAAGACAAAAAATGTAACGGCAGCTATGTCTTGATAGCACAATTTTATATGATGTCAAAACTGAAATGTGCCAGGTTTAAGTCAAAACTTTTATAGCTAATTTCACAAATATTTGGCAAACTAAAATGTAGTACAAGTGTAGCACAAACTTTTTTTTGGCAACCAATAAGATAATGCCAACATACTTATTTTCTTCATCATAATCTGAGTCATATTTAAATATTGTATATAATCTTTTCAGTTTATTGTATTCTTTGTCATTTCATTTGTTAAATCAGGTTTAATACCTTTTATTTTTGGAAAAATTTAGTCTCAAAATGTACCTTCTCCATCTACTCCATTTCATAATATACACATGGAAATTGATTACATAATCCAGTAAGCATTATAAGGTGTCACCTATCCAATCTTAGCAGAAACCTTTCCAAATGTTTTTCAGGTTGTCATCCCAATACCATGATGGAGTTAAATATAGGAAACTGTAACCTGTGTACTTGGAATGTGTCATAGGGTAAAGACAAAAATGATTTTATTTTGCGAAATCCAGTTATTTATAAAAAGAAACATCATAGCAAAATGGTTGCATTTTTGTAAAGCCTGCGACTTCTGTCGCAGAATGCGAGACATAGGGATAGTGATCAGGCAAGGCATTAACTAATTAATTAAAAGCTTAATATTTCAGAAGGTAGAAGACCTGGATGCTTCATACTTTGTATATAGATGCCTTATGTTATGAAGTTTCTGTCTGTCATATGTTCATTGTCCTTGACCTCATTTTCATGGTTCAGTGACTACTTGAAAAAAAAGTAAAGATTTTTTGTAATGTTAATTTCTCTCATATTATGAGTAATAGGATAACTATGTTTGGTATGTGCATACCTTGCAAGGTCCTCATACCTGTCATACAGTTTTCACTTGACCTCATTGGCTCAACCTCATTTCATGTATCAGTGAACAAAGTTAAGTTTTCGTTGTCAAGTCCTTATCTCAGATACTATAAGCAATAGGTCTACTATATTTGGTGTATGGAATGATTGTAAGGTGTGCATGTCCAACTGGCAAGTGTATTCTGATCTTGACCTCATTTTCATGGTTCAGTGGTTAAAGTTCGGTTTTTCTAATACTGTATGCAATAGGTCAACTATATTTGGTGTATTGAAATATTTTATGATGTATTTGTCAGTCTGGCAAGTATCATCTGACCTTGACCTCATTTTCATGGTTCATTGGTCAATGTTATGTTTTCCTGGTTAAGTTTGTTTCTTAGATACTATATGCAATATGTCAACTATATTTGATGCATGGAATGATTGTAAGGTGTACATGTCTGTCTGGCAGGGTTCATCTTACCTTGACCTCATTCTCATGCTTCATTGGTCAATATAAATTTTTCATGGTTTGGTCTGTTTCTTGTATACTATAAGCAATAGGTCAACTATAATCAGTGTATGGAATGATTGTAAGGTGTACATGTATTTCTGGCTTGGTTTATCTGACCTTGACCTCATTTTCTTGGATAATGTTTAGTTTATGTGATACGTGTAGTAAAACTTTATATGTAGGACAATCAACATAAAATCAATGGTCAGTATAGCAGGTGAGACATTTCAGTGTGTGCACTCTTGTTAAATCACTGAGCTTATTTTGTTATTTGTGTTGTGTATCAAACCTCAGAATTTTTTTATAAAAGATTTCATAATAGCGAAACTGCTGTGAAATCTTCATGTTAAAGAAAAAGTGAAGACAAATTGTTCAGAAGGGACAAGGTCCTAAAATAAAAAACGCAAGTGCATTTACGATGTTTGTACAAATAGCAACAGGTGCCTTTGTAATGGTGATGAATGGGGGTATGGTAAATGTCCAGTTCTAATGAATAAAAAGTCAAGAGTAATCAAAATCTGATCTTAACTTTGGGTGCTTGAAACATTGGCATCTATGTATAAGACATTAAGTCATATTTATGGTATATTCCTTGTCAATAAAATATCCACATTGTGCAATATTTTTTTTAATAAAGCCATTTTGATTTTTTTTGTATCATCTGTTTTAAAGAAAAACATGTGATTACTGCTCATAAGTTGTTAATTTTTTTTTATGGAAACTATGTACAGTTAACTTTGCTGTACAACTGTATCGGAAAATGAAATAGATAATGTATATTTTGTAAATAAAGAAAAACTGTGTGCTATAAGTAATTGTGGGTAATGCAGTTTATTGGTTGATTCTGCTTATTCCTGCTAATCTTAATTTTACTACCTCAAAATTTAGGAGAGATGTTTTGATGCAATATGAATTAATCCTGTTATCTGTTTGAAATGTTTCCTGTTTTTATTAATTTACCTTTTTCATAGATACCTTGATCAGCAATTATGTACAGATATCACCTAACAAGACTGCATGCAATTGTAGGGAACATCAGCTTTTTCTAGTTGATTTAATCCTGTATGTTTTGAAATGTTGAATTGCATAGGTCATACATGCTCAGCATTGTGGCTACCATTTTTTATACGACCGCAAAAAAATTTTGAGGTCGTATATTGGTATGACGTTGGCGTCGTCGTCGTCGTCGTCGTCGTCGTCCGGCGTCGTCGTCCGAATACACAATGGTTTTCGCACTCTAACTTTAGTTTAAGTGAATGGATCTCTATGAAATTTTACCATAAGGTTCAATACCACAATAGGAAGGTGGGGATTGATTTTGGGGGTTATGGTACCAACAGTTAAGGAATTAGGGGCCAAAAAGGGGCCGAAAATAAGCATTTTTGTAACTTCCAGACATAACTTGTGTGTTAGCATATGGATCTCTTTGACATTGTACCACAAGATTCCATATCACAAAGGGTCAATGCTGGGATTGATTTTGGGGTTAATTGCCTCAAAATTTTAGGAATAAGGGGCCAAAAGGGGGCAAAAAACAAGCATTTTTCTAGTTTCATGACAATAACTTGTGTGTAAGTGTATGGATCTTTCTGAAATTTTACTACAAGGTTCCATTTCACAAAGGGAAAGCTGGAATTGAGTGTTGTGGTAATTGCCCAAAACGTTTAGTAATAAGGGGCCTAAAAAGGGGTTTAAAATAAGCATTTTTTAGTTTCTAGACAATAACTTGTGTTCAAGTGTATGGATCTCTCTAAAATTGTATTACAAGGTACCATACCACAAAGGCAAGGCTGTTATTGAGCTTGGTTTGGGGGGAAAGGGGGGTGGGGGTGATGAATCATAAGGGGGGCGGGGGTCAAAAAAGGGGTAATTTTTTTTTTTCCTTTTTTTTTTGTTTAAAATTTACATTTTAAGTTAGTTATTTTTTATCACGAAGAGAGAGTAGGAATTGAGTTTTGGGGTTAATTGCTCAAACATTTATGAATAAGGGGCCAAATATTGGTCGAAAATAAGGATTTTTTTAGTTTGCAACAAAAACTTGTGTTCAAGTGTATGGATCTCTGTGAAATTGTATTGCAATGTACCATACCACAAATTGAAGGTTGTGATTGAGGTGGGGGATGATGAATCAAAAGGGGGTTGAAAAAATGTGTGGGGGGTAGGATTTTTTTTTTTTCCTTTTTTTTTCTTTAAAATTTTCCATTTAAAGATGGTTGTTTCAGATTTATATATGAAAGAAAATAATAATGATACGGTTATATATCATGAGGAATTGAAATTTAAAATTATGTATATTGGAAATTTAGGTTACATTGGAAAGTAATAATTGGCTTTGGGGGGGGGGGGGGGGGGGGGGGGGGTGGTTATTGCTCTAATGTTTAAGGAATAAGGGGAAAAAAGGTTAAAAAACAAGGGTTTCCATTTTAATAGACAAATAATTGAGTAAAGAACATTATTTAAAAGCAGTGTAAGGTTGGTAATTCAAACTCATTTAAATATCTCATCTACACTGCTTTTAAATTATGTAAATTGGAAATTTGCCAATAACTTTATTGTTAATAAATGCATTGGAAATTTGCCAACAATTTTAGTGTAATAGACTTCATTGGAAATTTGCCAATATAAAATTTTGCTGATGAAGGTTTTTTGTTTACCTTTAGCCTTGACTATGAAGTCATTTTCTATTTTTATAGCCTTATGATGTAGTTGAATTATTTAATACTTTTATGATGTGTTTAAATGGGGTTTTATCATGTTTATGGTTGCAAATTTATTGTTTTAGTATAATAAACTCCATTTAAAATTTGCCAATAAAAAAAATTTTTGTTTATTTTTAGCTATGATTATGATGTCATTTTCTATTTTACTTTTATGGTTACAAAGAAATTTTTATTTTTAGATATTACTGTTAAATGATGCTGATTAAGGTTTTTGCTATGTTTAGCCATGACTATGATGTCATTTTCTATTTTAATATCTGTTATGATGTATTTAAATGGGCTTTTATGGTTACAAAGGAATTTTATTTTTAGATATTACTATAAAATGTTGCTGATGCTGATTAAGGATTTTGTTTATTTTTAGCCATGACTATGATGTCATTTTCTATTTTAATACCTTTATGATGTAATTTCCATTTTTAGATATTACTGTTAAATGATGCTGATTAAGGGTTTTTTGCTATGTTTAGCCATGACTATGATGTCATTTTCTATTTTAATATCTTTATGATGTATTTAAATGGGCTTTTATGGTTACAAAGGAATTTTATTTTTAGATATTACTTTAAATGTTGCTGATTAAGGATTTTTGTTTATTTTTAGCCATGACTATGATGTCACTTTCTATTTTAATACCTTTATGATGTATTTAAATGGGCTCCCATGTATTTAGATTTTTGATTATTTATACATGTTACCAAATTGGTCCACATTGAACAAAAACGGTCCAAATTTCAACTTTATTACATTACATCAAACATTGAATTC